GTTAGTTCATCCTTTATTAGAATTTGAGCTTGCATGACCAGAAGCATCTACAATTGATATTTGATATAACTTTTTTAAGAAATATGGTTGAGGCTAACTCAACCCTACAATATCGGTTAGTAGAGTGAGGATTGCCCTCACTTTCACGCCCAAAATTAGATAATTGAAGCGTGAAAATAAATGATGGGTGGCTAAATAACAAAAACCATAGTAGGTGGTCCATCGAATCTTAAATCAGACTATGATATCATGTTAAAAAATATGATTACTCTCACTTATAAGAACATGTTTAAACTATATATTATCTGACGTATGACTCTTAATAAGCTCGATTGACCGCACGTTGTCTCAAATTTTCTTTTTCCTCTCATGTGATTTATAATTTTGTGCTCTCTCAGTATCAATGAATGGTTATGCTCAAGTTTGACTTCGCTGACCCTCCATCTGTTAGATTTCACTAATCTCAATCTAATCATTGCTAGACAGTATGCTCTTATTTTTTTTCCCATGACTATTAGCTTCTTTAATTGTTTCCAAACCCTCCTAGTTACGGCACAAGACATGACCGTGTTTCCCTTTACTATTATTACATTTGGGCCACGGAGATTTAACCCGAATAGCAAATCCATTTTCTTTAGCATAGCTATTATAATAGTTGTAGGTGTATGGTTTGGTTAGAAAATTGAACTAAATCGAACTAAATCATAATAAAAGTTCACTCGAACTGAACCGTTTCAATTTACTTAGAAATTCCGAACCATACTGAACCATTAAAGACAATTTTTCTCAAACCAAACAATTTATTGAAGAATCGAAGCATTAAACTATTTTTAAATTTTTTGAAAAAAAAAAACTTTAAAAACTTGTTTTTAATATTTTCATTTTTAGTTTCGGTTCGATTACAATTTTAGTTCAATTCAGTTTCAGTACGGTTATAGAACTGTTTTCTGCAATATAATTTGGTTCACTAACCATGCATAACGGTCAGTTATTTTAACTTCGGTTCAATTTGATTTAATGGTTCAATTCAGTTCATAGTTTTTCTAACAGCCCTATTCATAAGTGTCAAAATACATTCTCACAACAGGTATGTGGCAGTCTTTTCCTCGAGAATCTTTACTATGACTGTCAACTAGGGCAGTTTCATCCCTTCCATCTTTATATGTTCACTTCCATCCATCTCAAACACTTGTTTACAGTCATTCACAAGCTCATAGTCCTCATCCTCAGCCTCAAATGGCTACTCACTGTTTGGAGATCACTCATCTATTTGGAAATAGTGAGAGAAAGTTTTAAAACAATATCTAAGAAATTGAGTATGCATTGAAATTGACAACATAACCTGAAATATCTTGATAACCAAGCTCAAAGACCGGAACCAGTTTCCAGTTTGAAATTTTATAAAATTCCAAAATAAGTATGCAAATTAATCAATGTCATAAGCACTTATGAAATCCTAACACCTTTAAAAAAAAGTGACTGAAATTTGAAGTCACAGTCAAGATAACTAAAATCCATACATCATTCCATTTTATGTTAACAGTGAACACAAGACAAACGACAAACGGTACATTTCTCTCATTTACCTCGCTATAAATTTTCGGAACAAACAAAAAACTTGCGAGTCCACTAACATTGTACCATTATTTTTTCAAAACAGGGAGGAACCCTTTTGGACATAGATAACAGAAAATACAAAAGTTACAATCCAAGTAGAATCAAAACTATGCTATCAGTCGTGGATCACGAAAAAAACAATTTGTTCAAATTGTGTTATGCTACATCAGTATTACCCAACTATAGCCCCTAATTTACAAACACTTTTAACACAACATAAAACAACACACACAATGATTCCAGGGTTTAGACTCAAATATTTAGCACTTGATTAACATATAGTGAAAACCCAAGTCCCTCATAGAATAGATATAAGAGCTAACATGAGTTAATAAAATGCACCAAAAAATGCATTACACAATCTCCGTGAATTGACATACATGCAACTCACACAATTACAAAATGTAGTAGAATTGGGATTTTAAACACAACTAAAACTGAGAAAAATAAATGGAAATTTGAGAGGTGAGAGGGAACTCACCGAAGGAAACTGAGTTGCTGAGAAGAAGCTTTGAATGAGAGTGATGCTGCTCACTGTACTTCACCGTGCACGCGTCCAAACACACCCCTTTATTTTATTTTCATTATTTCTTCTACTTATTAAAAATCAAAGGATAATTAAATACATGACGAAATATCGTAACAATATTGATAACAAGTACTATGATTGGCATAATTATGAGCACCTTGTTAGCTTTGTTTCCAAGTAAATTCTAAATGAGTTGTAACAGGAAAAAGAAAGAAATTTCACGCATTCATCAATAATGACGCCAAACTCAATCAAGTCATCATGCTTGATATTAAATCCATCCACCACTAGCTTTGCATCCATCTCAAGCTCCCTCATCCACTCAATAGCCTTCAATAAACCATATACTTCTCCCGTCCAAACCTCGGTGGCTAAAACCAAAGAGTTTTCGCTCATAAATAAACCAAATTTATCCCTTAAGCAAAAGCCTATATCCACATGCTGTGTTGCAAAAAAAAAGAGAGAGGCTTACACCATATAGAAAGGGTGGAAGAGAAAACAGCACTACACCTTATCTATCAGAGTGCATCATTATCTTGTGCTAGAGTCAAACTCATAAACACTAATACTTTGTGATTTATCATCACGCCGAGGTATCATCTTCTTCCCACTTTTCTTGGTTTCTGTTAAGAGTCCCACATCGGACAATATATGGCATGAACATGTGTTTATAAGTGGGGGCAATCCTTACTCTACCAACCGGTTTTGTAGGGTTGAGTTAGGCCCAACCACATTTCTTAACAGTTTCAACAATGACAAATACTCCAAAGCGTCATAGGCAAAACTTATAGCTCCTTCATCGAAAGTTAACAAGCCTTTGAAAGAAAATATCTATGAAATTAGTCTCACCTGCAAGCTTTGGTTCACTAAGCTTGCCAATACTAAACTTTCCTCCAGCAGCACACACTGACTTCACGTCACACTATAACAAAATATGAACACCTACCTATCTTCAAGCTTTGGTTCACTAAGATGCCAATGCTAAACTTTCCTCCAGCAGCGCACACTGACGTCACGTCACACTACAAGAAAATATGAACACCTACCTATCTTCAGCATGGGTGTCACACCAAGGATACAATAAAGGGGACTGCACACCCCAACTTTGCAACGGCCCCCAAGTCAAAATACTATCCCGACACACGCCAAAAAACATTCTTGACATTAAAAGGAATCGGGAAACGCCACAACCTATGTCAGTTGCCATCAACCTTCAGATGCAAGGTACCTATAAAATACTATACATGCATAAATTATAGGCAGACACCATGAAGACAGCTCTATTATCGGGCCATCAAACTCTAGTATCTTCCTTCACAACTTCAAATAATACTGTGCTCAAATTTTAAAGAAAAACAAGTTGTGCCTTAGTGTTTGATGGCAAAAAAAACCCAGTATTCGCGTGATTATGAGGAGAAAAAAAAACTAATATAGGGTGAAAATTTGTGTTGAGAGTTCTCTTTATGGATAATATTGCTATTTTTCTGTTTCTAACGAGCCAAAGAATGAAACTCACACACTAACTGCTGAGAAGTGGAGAATTACAGGTTCTAACCCACGCTTCCTCATTTACAAATACCCCTGCAGCCTTTTACCATCTAAGTTGTACATATGGTACCGGGTAACATTGTAACTTGCTATTACATACAAGGAGTTAAGCTATTTTTCATTTATGGGTCAAAATATGAAATTAAAAATGCATTAAATTTTCATATTTGTAACATAGTTTAGTAATACTACTATAATATACATCCTAGAATTCTCAATAAATCAATTCTTACCGGTCAAAAATTACAAGAACCTTGAAATCCTCAACAAGGTCAATAATGCAATGAACATCAAAATCATACCAAAACAAAATACCACATCTTGCTAGTCTATTTATCAGATCAGATGTCATTGTAATCACAAAAAGTATGCCCTATCAGTCTATCAGTGTTGTCAATAGTGGACCGCGGTCCATGGCGGAGAGCAAAAATCCCGCCATACCGGCCGTTTTGCAGCACCGTAATAGCAGATTATGGCAGAAAACCTGCAATGTCGGCCGAACCATTACTGCGAGCCCAAAAACCGCCATGTATATCTGCCATAGCAGTCATGGCGCCGCTATTTGATAACACTGGGCCCTATGATGACACTTTCTAACCAAAAGTGTGGTAATTCAATTAATACCCTTAAAACTTTCTTTCTTGGCTCGATAAAGATAATATTCTAATATATGTATTCAAGACATTCCAGAATCAACATAAAGGGAAAAAGGACGTACTCAGGAGACAGGCCAATTGTTCAACTCCTGCAGCGGTAACACTGCCTTGTAAATCAAGGTAGGCCCCCATAAGTTTTGGTGCCCTAGACAAACTAGAAGAATGGTGCCCTCGTGATCATATTATTATAATTGTTTTATCTATACATTTCTTGTTGCAAAATCATTAATAATACATTTAAAATTAATGTTCTTAAGAATCACCCACAAGAAATCAAAATAAGACTTAACGTTTTAACAATTTTCATTTAAAAAATTGTTTCTCAGAATATGTCATGATAACAGGGAGGGATTAATAATATTTTATAAATTATGCATGCATTAGAAAAAACAATTGAATATTTTCAAAGATCTCAATATCATAATGTTTGGTTTTGACTCTACAGTTAAATATGTCAATTGTTCAATTGTCATAATAACACTGCCATGTAAATGACTTAGATTTAAATAGACTAATTAATCATTTCAGAAATGACACAGGAAATGCTACTAACTAGAGACATATTTAGCTATAAAAGTTATAGAAATATATTTATATACATAGCATATAACATATTAGACCAACACTAGTTTTCTAAAGTACATTGATTGTTACTCATGCCTCTGTTCTACGTCATGAACCTTATTAAGTGATTCTTCTAAAGCCTGCAACGCTACATTGTAATGGTCTCCAGAAATCATTCCCTCCTCCACGACTTGTAGGACGCTTTTAAATAACTTATTGCACAATTGAATACTGCCAATACTATCAGAACTATCGGAGTTGTGATCAGGAATATAATGGCGCTTGTAATCTTTCTTCCACCTTGAAAGAATGTACTTGGGAGGAATCTCTTCCACCCCATTAAAATTGAGTACACACAATGCATGCCGGCATAAATATCCATAAAAATTAAAGCAACAACAAATACAACGAACTTCACCTACTGATCTACTGTACAAAACTTCGAAATCCTTAATCTCGCGTTTGTTTCCCTCAACCAAAACACGCTCTTTGACCAAGAAGATTATGATGGGACCGTCGACGTGTAATTGAGTCGTCCCGAAACAAGACAACATTTCTCCCACTTCAAGTTGGAACTTCCTGAATATTTCTCTTGTGTACATTTTAGAGAGCTGTAGTTCAAAAGAACACTTGGTTTTCAACAAGGGGCTCGAGCTTCTTGATTCAATATCTGCTAAAGATTCTTCCATGTATTTTTTATGAAGAGCTAGTTCATACTTGTCAAGAAACTCTTTCAAAGGAGTCTGTTTGTGCACATATTTATCAAAAAATGGACTAAGATTCTCACCAGAGCGTGTCGCAGCCATTCCACCAAAAAATTTGTCCTTTAAAAATACCGGTGCCCAATGAACTCGGTCTTGATAAAGGGAACGAAGCCACTCGTGGTTACTAAGTCCGAAACGTTGAATTATAAAGCCCCATGCTGCCTCAAATTCAATCACTTTTAATGTCTCATAAACGGCTCTAACCAGTGCTTTTCTGATTGCATCGTAATTGCGCAACCCTCCCAGTTTTTCTGGTACTTTTTTCATAATTAACGACAAGCCAAAACAATGATGAGATTTGGGAAAATTTTCTGCAATTGCACTCTGCAAAGCCTTGCACCTATCCGTAATAATAGTTTGAGGTGAACATCCTGACATACACATAACCCATGTTCTAAACAACCAAGTATATGATTCGGTCGTTTCCCCAGCAAGAAGACCACAGCCTAATAACACTGATTGACCATGGTGATTTATTCCAACAAAAGCCACAAGAGGGATTTCATATTTGTTTGACAAATAAGTGTTGTCAAAATAAATGACGTCACTAAAATACCCACACGCAGCCCTAGATCTCGCATCAACCCATAACACATTCCTCAAACATCCTTCATCATTGAAATCCATCAAATAAAAGAAGTGTGGATTAGTCAGTTGCATACGGCACACGAAATTATAAATAGCTTGTGTGTCCCCTTTTCTTAGGCTCAACTCACTAGAACATTCAGAGAAAGTTTTGCCGTCTTTCACATTGGAGTTTAAATTACCATCACCTGCGTCTATCACAAGTGCACGATATAACTTTATTGTTTGCACTTGAACATCAGAACTAGGTAACAACTTGTTTTTAGTTCCAGTTCCTATCTTTCTAACCGATTTATGAATCTTAGCACCTAATATGTGGTTATGTTCAAGGGTTACCTCGCGTATCCTCCATCTCTGAGACTCCACTAACCTCATCCTTATCATAGCAGTACAACCAGTTCTCGTCTCTTTTCTCAAATTGTTAACATCTTTTATTCTTTTGAAACCTTGGCTGCTACAACAAAGTACCGCACCGTATTTTTCTTTGCTATTTCTCTTGAACCATGAATTCTTCACCCTCACACAAAACCCCACCTCTTTGGCATAACAAATGTAATAATTGTAAGCATCATCATACGACTCGAATTCCATTCCAACAGCAGGCGCAAGAAATTCCTTTCTTCCTTCAGAGATATCATTTTGACAATCTATTCCAATTAGTACATCATCTTCATCTTTCAGAATCTCAATGCATTCTCCGTCCGGTAATCGTTCGCAACACAGAGAAGCATCGTCCATCTAAACAAAACCACTAATTTATAATTGCATATCAAGTGTTTACTCCCTAAAATAATTTAGAATATGATAAACCCAATCTCAAAACATCGACTTAATACCAAAATTCCATTCACCTGAATTGAATTTATGAAATTATAAGAACTGAAAACAGTGATAAAACCTAAGAGTTAGAACATAGAAGGAGGAGCATAGCATAGATAGAAAAAATGAATTACCTTTAAGACTTCTTCTTCGAGAAAGTGGGAGTCGTCGCCCAATGTAACAAGATGTTCCCTCTCCAACTCCGACATCATCTAATCCTCCGTCTTCAAGTGCTCATTCTCTCTACTGTGCATTTTGGGAAGAAAAAACGTATTTATAATAAAATTAATTAGAAATTCATTTTAGAGTTGGGATAAACCGGCTTATTTGAAGCTTATAGCAAAATAAGAGGAAAAAAAATACCAAATCATATATTAAATCTTAAAATATTAATATAACATGATAGAATATTATAATTTTATTATACACTATTTTTAATTTCATCAAAATAATTATAATATTTATTTAAGTTTTTCTTAACAAAATATAAAATAAATTTGTTTCGGACCGACCCAATGGCTAGGCATGACTCAATTTACTTCTGTTTCCAGAACGACCCAATTGTCTGAGTCCAACCATTTGGGGGAGAATTTTACCTTTCTGCCCCCTCCCAACAGGGGAGACCGACCAATTTATCTTTGGTCACAACACTTCTCCTCGTCAGTCTCTGTCCGTCACGCACGGTCCCACCATTCAGAAACAGCCAAGACGTTTGTGCCCGTTATAATGGCTAATTCTGGCAGTTACCTATTCTTCGGGAAACGGTTATCTCGTCCTGAAAATAGGGAAAAATGGCCAAGCGTTGAGGTTATTATATAAATTCTCTTAATTGATAGGGTCAGGTATCCAATATTGACCCTGATATACTCATATTTTGTATTTGCTCTCTCTCTCTCTTACCTGATTTTTACTTTAGCATCGGAATGTCTTGCAGGTACACTCTCTCCTCCTCTTTCACACCAGCATCACAGACGATTGTCTTTGACCCACCTCAGGTTCTGATCAACCGGTAAGATCAAAATTTAAATTATTTTAATATGTGGTATAAATTATTTTTTGTTTTTGAGAATTTATAAAAGTTTATGACTTAACACTATCCAATGATTTTGAGCGAATTTTTATCTGATCCTATTTGTGGAAAAATACTTTATGAAAATCTAAAATGTCTTTCAGATTTCAGAGATATATTTACGAAAAATTTCAAAACACATTTCATACATCCCTCTCTAAAAGACTCATTTTAACATTTATTGGTCTGAAGATGCATATTTGTTTAGGATTTACGGAGATGCATCTTCGTAACCAATCAAAAAATGTAAGTTAAGTTAGTTTTAGGATTACTCAGATGAAAATGATGATTTATAAATGTTAAGATCCATGTTATGTGATAAGCATTAACCATACAACCGATATGTAAAAAATGACATAAATATATTTGGAGTCAAAATAAGTCATCATGACATACAAAAAAAGTTGAAATATACAATGAAGTTAAAATATGTAAAAATAAAAAACGACCAAACATAAATCAAAACTACAAATACTATCAACTATTGTGTATGTCAGACTAGAGCTTCTCGGACTCCTCTGCCACCTGTCATTCAACATTGTCTCTGGTACATCAGTACCTCCCGTGCCTCCTTCATAATGGCATCTAAGACCTCTATCGCCTCAGAACCATCAGGAAATATACCTCTGTCAATGTCTATCTACGCAATATTCACAATATGGCAACATCTAGGGAATACATCATGAGCATGATCTAGCATAGCCTACTACTCCTCTAGTAGCTCTTGATGAAATACCTTCGGTGGATCTCCTGGAACAACCTGCATCATATACGGATATGACACCTTGAAGAATCACATGATGTACCTGCCTACATAGCTCATATCGCTCTCAACTATGGTACTTTGTGCCTTCTCTAGTACTAGATGACTAAGATAATTATCAAACATGGCATCCATATCTCTACGTATCATAATAAAAGGAGCAGAGACAACAGGGTGTCTGGGAATAGTCTAGATGTAGTTGAATAACCGCATGAAGCACTCAGGAAAATGAGGAAATGTCAAACATGAATCGCGACTGCAAGTAAACTATCATAGGTATAACACTGTATCTTCAAATGGCTACGTCTCACAGTAGTCAATATAGTTGTTAAAATGTGTATCATCTGCTACCAAGCGGTCAAGATACACTCGAAACAGCTATGTCGCCTGGTTCCTTTTGAGCGGGGTGTTTACTGTGAAATTTGGTAAACAACCTTTGATCTATCAATTTTGGGTAAAATTGAGTAACTTGCAGGATCGACCATACAAATCCTAGGACATGTGCTAAGTTTAAAAGAAAAGTCTAAATTGAACTCCACGTTCGACTGTAAAACAAAAACAACTTGGAAATTAGCAAGGTTGTAAAATAAAGAGTGCAGTTCTTAAAGCGTAGAAAGTAAAAAGCAAGGTGTAAAAGACTTTTAAAATAAAGGCAAGAATGTTAAAATACTTTGAAGATAAAGGCAAGAATGTAAAAAGACTTTGAAAAATAAAGGCAAGAATGTTAAAAGACTTTGTAAATAAAGGCAAGGATGTAAAAAGACTGAAAAATAAAGGCAAGAATGTAAAAAGACTTTGAAAAATAAAGGCAAGAGAGTAAGCGTGTAAGACGTCGAAGGTAAAAGTAATAACGTAAAAGTGCAGGAAAGTAGCAGTCGAAAGCAATTAAAAAGACTTTGAAAGTAACAAGTTTAAGGGAAAGCGCAGAAGGTTAAATGGCAAGTTAAGATAAAGTGCATAAAGTTAAATAGCATGAAGTACAAATGAAAAATAAAGTTTCAAGCAAGAACATGAAAGGTAAAAGTTAAAGGAGAACATGCAAGATAAAATGATAAAGGTACATAAATTGCATTGATGAAAAGAATGGTGTTGCATCACGTACATTCTCTCTAACTCGTTTCTCTACACGCGGGTACTTTGAGTGATTTGAAGTAACTCGTACAAGACAAATGAACACCCTTATTCTATGGAATTAACCCCTATTTATAATGCTAGTGAATAACTACTAAGTAACGGTTGTTGCTTCAAACATGTCTTTTGGCGCTTTTCTTGACTTCAATCGTTCCTACTTCGCCAACTGCTCTTTTGAAATTCAAATATCAGGACTTTCCCTCCAGCCTTCGTGGTGACTACAGCGCGCTTCTTTCACCGATTTGTGGTCGAAGAACTATCCAACACTTAGCAAATTTTCAGAAGTTTTCACAACCTTTCTTCGACTCAGGTTTTACCAAACACTAGGTCGAAGCCTTCTTATGCTTGAACACACTTGTTTTTTGACTTGAGATGACTCTTGATTTTGCTGGCGTCGAAAATGAGAGCTAACAAATTGCCCCCAAGAAATTCCTTTTCGCCAACTTTGGTAGGAAGGTCATTTTTTATAACTGTTTTGACGCATATGCCTCTGAAATTGCATGGCCTTGACTGAACAACCCACTACTTATTTTAGTGGCTAACTGCTCAATTTATTTAACCCACGCTTATGATGTCACGTCATCATGACAAACCCTTAAACGTCTCTTCAACCGTATTCATCATCACTTTTCTTGAAAACATATGTTTGCAGTCTGACTATAACTGCTAACAGTCATTACTTATCCAGAGAAACACACGCGTCCCACTACCCGATTAACTTCAACGGTCGATTCAAAGCTCTTAGGATTCCCAAATGCCTATAAATACTCCTCTTCAATATTTTGTAAACTTTTTACACTCCCAGAATCTTAAGCACCTTGTCTCTTTTCCTTCAATTTTCTTCACAAGACCTAGAAAGCACCATTTCCTTTTGCTTCTTTTAACAATGGCATCTTCCCAAGCAAATCTTCATGAGAAGAAAACCCAAAAGGATAGAGTTACTCAATTTAAGCAATCCATTCCACCATTTGTAAACGTTCCTAGCCCCTAACTAGTGAATAATCGCCAATGCATGCCAGAATCCACCACTAAAGTGGCACGAAGCATCTACAAATATCGGGTAATTATTCCTTTGGTTATTTATGATAAACCATATGCATTTTCTGGTCCTCTAGCTGATGTTGGAATTTCTGACGAAAAACTAGGTGAGTTTCTTCCTTCATACCGGAGATCAAGGTCGTTAGGGCAAAAAAGTTTCCATAGCCTCACCAACACTGCTGCTGAAGACCTTCCCCTGCCTAAGATCAACCTTAGGTATCTCACTGATGGTACTAGGCTGGTGAGAGCCATCAATCCCCTTAAGGACTTTGACCTTTGGATGACGAAAGTGGAAAACGCTAAGGCTGAGTGTAACGCCCATTTTAATTATTTAAGTTTTTCCGTGTCATTTTATTATCGGCATGCCCTGTGTGGAAAGTTGTTGAGGAAATAAGGAGCATAATATTAATATTATATAAACGATAATGATAATAATTAATAATTAATATTAATGTTGATATTAGTATTATTATTATTATTAATATTATGAGGTTTTAATATTAATTTGGAATTAAGAAAATGAGGAAGTATTATTAATGTTTTGGAAATTAAAAAGAAAAGGAGGATTTATATTAATTGGAATTGTTTTTGGGGTATTGAGGGCAATAATGGCATTTGGAAGAAATTGAGAAAGGAGAACACGATCGTGAGAGGAAGAGGAAGAAGGACACGGTCTAGCAAGTGAAGAGCAATCTTGAGAGACGATCAAGAGGAACTTGGTTGTGGAATTCTTGAAGATTCTTCATCAAAGCTGCGTATTTGAGGTAAAAGGGGGGGGGGGGGGGGGAAGAATCGGTTAAATTTCGGTAAATGCATGAATATTAGGTAGAAAGGGATTTCCCTTAATCCCATAGGTTGATGATTATGTTCTATGTGATGTTATGATTCTGGGTTTGATGCTGATATGCTTGAATTCATTGCATGTGTTGTTTGCTCAATTTGGGGATTTCGGATAGTGTGAAGTTTATGCTGAAACTGAGTAAATGCGTAGAGCTGACATTTAATCGGGTTAAATCGAGGATAGGTGTTGTATATAGGTGGTAGAATAATGGTCTGGTATGATGGGGTTTGGTTTGGAATAGAACCAGCTGAGCTCGGAGCGTCTTGCCGACTCTGAGCAGTGGTATTATTTTTTTTCTTCTGAAATCGCAAGTATTCGCTGGGTGAATGAGGGGGGCGAGCCTTCGCTAAGGCTTCTCCAGGAGAACTGGGCAGCGAGTGCTGCTAGTAGCCTCTGTCTGGCTTCGCTAGGGGTTTCGCCGGACGAGCTTCAGCGAGCATTCGTTGCGGGGCTTCACCAGGCGAATGTGCCAGCGAGCGTGACAGAATGTTGTGTTTTGAGTTGTGTTGTTCGGTTCTCTCGTGATTGTCGGATCTTTGTTGGTCATGGTCGAGTATGACATTGGTATTGAGTTGTGGGGAGTGTATGTGTGGTGTGGAATATGATTTCCTTGATATTGTTCAATTAGAATGATTGAATTTGGTGTATGTGATTGCGTATGAATGGGGTATAATGTGATATATATATATATATATATATATATATATATATATATATATATATATATATATATATATATATATATATATATATATATATATATATATATATATATATATATATATATATATATATATATATATATATATATATATATATATATATATATATATATATATTTGTATATATATATGGTGTGTGATGAAATGTGATCAGTGGAATTGTGTACGCTTAGTGTATTTGTTGTTGTGTGTTGTGCATTGGGGTTATGCATAGCATGGTGTGATGATGTGCTCCGGTGTGGAGGGTGATGGCCTGGTGCCCATCGGTAGTGATATCGTGCTCCTGTGTGGAGGGTGATGGCCTGGTGTCCATCGGTGATTGTGAGGGAGCTAATAGTTTACAAGCATAAGGTGGACCTTGCTTTAACTCAGCAACATCAACCTCAATCTCATCGAAATAAGATGTTTCTTCATATAGATTCTCCGCATCTTCATTGCATTCGACAAATGCTAATTTTTTACCCTTGTTAAATCTAGCTTTATCCTCTTTTAACCTTTCTAGTTGTCGAACTCCATCAGCTAATTGAGCCATATCTCTGAGATACTGGGTATCCAACTTCTTCCTAATGGAATAATCAAGACCCCCATCAGCCATTTCGACCAACTCATGTGCTGGCACTTGTGTAAAGCACCTAGCTTTAAGAAGTCGAAACCTATTCAGGTAATCATCAATTAGCTCAGTGATTTTGCATTTGATACTAGCAACTCTTTCAGGCTGATCTTGGTTTGTCCCATATAGAACTGTTCATGAAACAAACGTTCTAATTGGGCCTAATTATAGACTGAATTAGGAGGCAAAGTAGTAAACCATGTAAAAGCATTTTTGGTGAGGGAACTTGGGAAATATTTGATCCTAAGGCTTTCATCACCTGCGATCTTGCCAGCTTCAATCATATACCTAGCCACATGTTCAACGGTTGATTTAGTAGTATCTCCTGAGAACTTACTGAATTTTGGAACCTTCGTCCTAGGGGGTAGTTCAGACTGAAGAATATAATCTACTATGGGCGAAGTATAATTTGGCCTTGTGAAGCCAAAGTTTACACCATTTATAGTCATTATTCTTTCGACCATGGCTGCGAGATTATTTTCTTCTGTTGTGTTTTGGTGTCAAACCTGTCTAAGGAATTGGTCAGCATTTTGGTTCCTATTCACCATGACTACTCCTGGTTCCTCCTCCCAATGGATTGGCACCTGGTTCCTTTGTGGTTCGACTCTGAAAGGTTCGCCCATCTCTTGATCCTCCCAATTCACCTCTGGTACATTTTGTGGCTGACATCGTGGAATATTCTCACCAATAGTTGCTCTTCGATCCGGTGTTGGCACTCCCATAAAATCAGCCATACGTGCTAATTGTGTTGCCAATTGTTGGTTAGTTTGAGTAGTATTCTGAATCAACGGTTGAAAAACTTCTCCTATTGTCTGAGACAATGTATGTACCATTTGTATATTACTTTCATCCATTTGCTGTCTCAAGCAATTTATGGAGGTATTTGTAAGACTGAGTGCTTGAACAGAGTAACCAACACCTATGCTTGGGTTGTTTCGACCACCTGATCCAAATCCTTGCACTGGCGAAGACACTATATTTTCTAAAAATATGGGTGGAGCGCTCTGCAGATTTTGCACCATTGACGTAGGCATACCATAGGGTAAATTCCTTGGCAATGGCTGTGAGAAACCTAGAGGAGGAAAATGCTTATGCAGTGAACTTCCTTCTGGGGGTGTTGGTGAGTTAGGAACTTGTGGTCCTATATATTCCAACACAAGTTGAGTGTATGTTCTTACACACGTTGAACCTGGGCTTGTCACAGACAACATAGGTTCAGACACAACTGCTGGCGGTGACGTCTGTCCTCCCGTCAAAGACACTAGAGATGGTATACTTTGAGACCTCATGCTGCTTGCCTAAGTGTTTGAAATACTTCCTTGAGGATCAATTTGTTGACTAGCATTAGTTGCCATTCTCTTAGTATATCTTCCCTTTGGTATACCTTCGTTTGCTGTAGCTAACTTCCCACTTCTCAATAACATACAACGGAGTGTTTCTCAAGAAGATGGATACTTTCAATTTATTATTTTATTTACTTTCAGTTTAATATTTATTATATTTATATTTATTAATTTAGTTTATTTTTAAAATATTAAATATTAAAATATATTTAATATTTTAGACATGTTAAAATAATATCTTAAAATTTTAGTTTATTTTTTATACCACACATGTTTATTAATATTTTAAATCACACATGTTTTTTTTTGTTTTGATTATATTTTTAAAACATTATTATTAATTTAGTTTATTTTAAAATAATTTAGTTTATTTTTTATACAAACGTTAATATATATTTATGGGTTTAATTGTTATGCATTGACAGTGTAAAAATATGTTACACTTTCATTCAATAGGAATATATCATTCTGTCATATCATAGGATTAATTAAAAATTTTCAATATGACTTGACGAGATGCATTGTTGTCATTGGCTGACAGTGTAAAAAAAAATTACATGCATCACCTTTTTTTTCTATATTTATTATATTTAAATATTTAATAATTTAGTTTTAAAAATATAATAAATATAAAATAATAATTTAGATAAAGGTTAATATTAATTTAGTTTAGTTAAAACGTTAATATTAATTTTATTTGGTTTTTTATTAATATTAGTAGAGTTAAAACATTAAAAAAAATAGTTTAGTTTAATTTAGTTTATATTAATATTAATTTAGTTTAGTTTATTAAAACGTTAATATTTTTAAAACATTATTAATAGTTTAGTTTATATTAATATTAAATATATTTTAACATTAAGTATTTAAAAATTAAATTAAATTATTAAATATAAATATAATAAATATTAAACTGAAATAAAATAAAATAAATAAATAAAACAATAAATTAAAAGTAAATAATAATAATAATAATAAATTAGCTGAAATTAAATAATTGAAATATATATATATATATATATATATATATATATATATATATATATATATATATATATATTGATGTAATCAGATAGACAATAAAAACACTTCAGTCCAGTGAAAGGGGACGCCCTTTAAAAACATCATGTCTTGCGTAACAAAAAGAAAAAATATATAAAAATAGAGTACACGGGACGCCCTTTGAAAACATCATGTCTTGCATAACAAAAAGAAAAAATATATAAAAATAGAGTACACGTCACATTAAAAAAATCAACAAAATAATGTTTCGTCACATATTCTGTTGACCAAATTCACTGAGAGCATCTTTAGTGGGAATATCTTACGTGGGTAAACTAAGATATTTTTTGTGGGTCCAAAGTGATGTGTAGGATTTAAAAAACTTATAATTGATTTGAGTTGTTTTTACTTTAATGATAGTTGCTTATAAAAAACTAAAATTTGACTCTATATAATATTATATGACTGTTGTTTTCAAAAAATTACAAGACTTTAATAATATAAATAATATTATTATATGTTTCAAAATAAATAGCATATGTTAGCTATATAATTGTCAGAAACTAAAAGTTAATGAATTAAATGTCATGTCATAGTCATTCTAATACAAATTATTTATAATTATCGTTAACTATAAAAAATTTAACTATTAAAAACCTGCATTAAAGATACTCTGAGGGAGCAAAATAGAGGAATGAGGGGGGCAAAATAGAAAAATCTTGAAATTACAATTCCGTTGACCAAATTCACGGAGGGAGCAAAATAGAGGAATGAGGGGACAAAATAGAAAAATCTTGAAATTACATAGATGAAATCTGTGAATCTGTGTTTTTTTTACCGAGTCCTTTTTTGAAATCGCACTAAATGACAGAGGGCAAAAAGTGTATTAACCCTATTTTCTATAACGAAAGCTGCATAGCAATTTTCTCTTCAATAACGATATCCCTAAACCTTTCTTCTTTTTCAAGATCACTCAGTTATATTAAAATTCTCACTTTGAAACTTAATAAACATTGCAATGAACAACGAGGAGAAAATTTGGGGCAACAAAAGTGAAAGTTGTAGGAATAACCCCAACAAACATGTATTTCAAGTAGGGTCCAATGACCATATGAGCTGCATGACCAACCACTATGGTTGTTTATATTGATCTGGTAAACCAGCCAAAAGGACATTCACATTCTATGCTTTTGCATAATTTTGGAAAGTTTTAACATAACTACAAAAAAAACAGTATATTAGCATCATTCTTGATTTATTTATTCAATCTTGTCTGCTACACAACGAATCTTATTCAAAGACTCTTTAAATGCCTGCCAAGAAGCCATATAATGGTTTTGAGATATCATGCCTTCTTCAACTACTTGCATAGCACGTCTGTATAAATGATCAAAACACTGAACTGGGTTGGTAATATCAACATCGTCTGACCTGAGATGTGATACATACAATCGCTTACAATCTTTCCTCCATCTTGACAAAATATATTGACATGGAATTTCCTCCACCCCATTGTAATTAAGGATATACAAAGCATGCCTGCATAGGTAGCCTTTGAAGTTAAAGCAACTACAAATGCAACGTACTTCAGCTACCGCTTTATCATACATGACTTCAAAATGCCTATCATCTCTTACAGATTCTTCCACTTGATGTTCTTTTACCATGTATGTCACTATCGACTCATTTGTTTGAATTTGTGAGATGCAGAAACAGGAGGACATCATCACCACCTCATCTTGGAACTTCCTGAATATTGCATTTGTGTATAATTTAGAGAGTTGCAGCTCGTAGAAGCATCTTGTTTTCAGTAATGGGCTTGAATTGTGTGACTCCAAATCATCAAGAGCTTCAGTGTTTTGCTTCTTTTGTTGAACTAATTCATAAATCTCAAAAAATTCTTTCAACGAAGTTTGTTGATGCACGTGACCCTTGAAAAAGGGAACCACTGACTCGCCGCTTTCATAATCATAAATTCCAGCAAAAATTGTGTCCTTGGAGTATACTGGAGCCCAGAGCTCTCGTTCCTCATGCAAGCTTTGAAGCTTTTCATGATTTCTTGTTCTAACATGTTGGGTCAGGGCATCCCAATCCCTTTCAAATTCATCTACTGTTTTAGGGTCATATATCACTTTTGTTAGCGCCATTTGAAATGCCTCATATTCCTGAAACTGCACCATACATCCACAGATACTCTGCATGACTTGCAATAGACAAATTCTATGGTGAGCCCTCGGGAAAACCTCGGCTATTGCACTTCGCAGGGTCTTACATTGGTTTGTAACAATAGTTTGTGGAGGGCGACCAGACATACAAGTAATCCATGCCCTAAATAACCAAATATACGTATCGAATGTCTCATCTGCAAGCAGACCACATCCTAGCAAAATAGATTGTCCATGGTGATTAATACCAACAAATGCAACAAGTGGAATCTCATAATTGTTTGACAAATATGTTGTGTCAAATGCAACCACATCACCAAAATAACTATATGCTGACCTAGATCTAGAATCAATCCAAAATATGTTCCTCAGTTGTCCATCATCATTCAGATCCATCACATAGAAAAAATTAGGACTCACCAGCTGACCCTGACAGAAGTAATTAGAAATAAGTTCTGCATCACCTTTTTTTAGTTTCAAACGCCTGGAAAATATAACATTGTTGCTAGTTCCTCCTTCATTAGAATTTGAGCTCCCATAACCAGAAGCATCTACATTTGGCATTCGATATAACTTGATTGTCCGCACTTCAACATCTAAAGTTGGCTCAAATTTTCTTTTGGCCCCACTGTCCATCCTCTTATGTGATTTAGAGTTCTGTGCTCTCTCGGGATCAAATGAATGGTTATGCTCAAGCTTGACTTCATCAACCCTCCACCTATTAGATTCCACTAATCTCAATCTAATCATTGCTAGACAGCCTGTTCGCGTTTCTTTCCTATGACTATTAGCTTCTTTAATTGTTTTGAAACCCTCACAGTTACAGCACAAGACAGCACCACGCTTCTCTTTACTGTTACGTTTGGCCCAAGATGATTTAACCCGTATAGCAAATCCAATTTCTTTAGCATAGCTGTTATAATAGTTGTAGGCATCATCATAAGTTTCAAACTCCATTCCCACAACAGGTGGCTGGAAGTCTTTTCCTCGAGATTCTCTACTATTACTGTCAACTACTGCCGTTTCATTTTCATCCCTTCCATTCTCATGTTCGCATCCATCAATCTCAAACAATTGATTACAGTCATTCTCGAGCTCTTTGCCCTCAACTTCAAGTAGTTGCTCACTGTGCAAAGATCCCTCATCTATCTGGAAAGAGTGAGGGAAAAAGTATTCAAATTTCAAACACAATCTAAGAAATTTGAGTATGCATTAAAATTGACAACAAAACTTAAAATAACACAACCAAGCTCAAAGGTGGCCAACCAGTTTCCAATTTGAAACTTTATATTACTGACTGGCGTAAAGTTTCTTTTATTATCACCCTACACAATCATGATCATTTGCCCGCCCCCTTTCTTCTCTATCTCACCAGCCCACAATAGTCTACTACAGTCTACACTATGACGCATTTACGCGGGTACAGTCGCGGTATGAGATACGGCAAAAAATGAGGTGCAGGTACGTTGCTAATATATAAAAAATAAAAATAAAAAACTTTAAACTATTCAAAGCACAACAATATTTGTTCAACAACATAAAAAATTAGAATTAAAAGATGATCAGAGAAAAGAAGCTGTGAACTCGCTGTTTCCAATGTTCAAAAAACATTAAAATCTCAAAGAAAATAGTGAAATCATGGAGAAAAGAAGGTTTTAATTTTAACAATAAATACAGTGCATTCAGTTACAAGAGAAATAGAATAGGCAAAAAATTGAAAAACTTGTGGCCTAGTCGGTGATAGAGAGAAGCAGACTGAGTAAACAATGTGATTTATTGGCTTTAGGTCGCATTATCCGACTTGCTTTTTATCATTTTTCCCGCGCGTTCAACCCAACCATGTAATGGCATCACACCAAGCCATTGCATACAATGTACTAGATTGGAAAAGGAAGCAAACTGAGAAGGTACATGACTGGTGTGAGCCGTGCGGCACGGGCCCCCAACGCGTATCTATACCTAGTATGTACCCAGCATGGGTACTCTGCCAAAAATGGCATACCAATGTTTCAGAGATGATATATCATTATGTATTTGAAGCAATATCCCAGCTATATCTTCCACACGAATGGATAGCCCAGAAACATCCATAACGGCTTAGCATCCATATCAAATAATTGATCTATAATCCAACAAATATTGTATGTTGGTTTCTCAATAAAATATATTCCATAATAACTATGTGAATTAAAAACCCACGTATGACTCCTATGACGTCCTAACCACTAACACAGATAATGAAATTTTTTTGAAGTGATAGACACAATAATTAAAACCCACATGACCCCCTTTTATTTTAATAGTAACCACAAGACATTGGTGCATTTCTTCCCTTATTTGCAGTACTTATAAAAACTTGTCAGTCCAATGACATTGCACCATTTTTCGCAATAGCAGAGAACCACTTTATTAATAAAAGGAAACAACAAATGAGTCTCTCTACAAGAAAAATCAAGCCTCAGGTTTTTCCAGACTTGCCACAATATAGTAGTTGAAAATGAAAAGCACAACATATATCATACAAATAAGCGAGTCCAACATAACAAGCCATTGGTTGTTCTATGATAAAAACCTACCGTGATGTCGAGATTAGTAGTTAGCAACAAGCCCTTATCATTTGAAGAACACACAACATTGTCATTCATGGTTCCCTCAGAGGGTTCCCGCGAGTTCTTCTGTTAAAGAATAAATAACAGGTTAACCTTGTTATAATGTTGCATTTCAAGTAATCACATTTCAACTAAAATGCATCATAGCATAATAGATCAACACAAATTTTGAGGTAAACAATGAAATGAAACAAGTGAACAAAATCACTACAGTGCTAGTAAAAAGTCTCCAGAAGCAGAGTTTAATGAACACTTGAATTATCATACAGATTAAACAGTAATCCATTGCAGAATCTTCATGAATTGACATATATACAAAAATTGTTGTAGAATTATGATTTAATAGAGAAGTTAATATATGAATTGAACCAGTAGAATACAAAATTAGGGATTAGTAATTAGGGGAAACCGATAAATAAATTGTAAATTTGAGAAGGGGAAGGAAACTTACCAGCGGAACGAAAAGAAGAAAAGAGTTGAGTTCAGTTGGGAGGAACAAGAATGGAATTACAAATAAAAATATATGTTTCGTCTATTTTCTATTAGATTCTGTGTGGTGCTTTATTTATTTATTTTCATTTTAATTATTTACCGTTTTAAATGTTGAACTTAATCTTTTTATATATTTGAAATTTTTATCAATTATGTATTTTGATTGATTTTGTTTCATATAATATTATTTATTCACAATTTCTTTTACAATATCACTTTTAATATATTTTTATGTTCCTATTAAACTTGTGTTGTGAGCTTTATCAATAATCTCATCAAATTCGAACTCAAGTCGTGAGCATGAATATGTATACTCTTCATAGTATACAAAAGTAGAAAAAATCATCTTATGGGGTGATTGAAAGGTATTCAACTTACCATGTAAAATGGGAGAGGTTACAACGGTATTAGGTGTACGAAAAAGAGCATTCAGCACGACATGGTTAAGATCCTTTACCAAGAGAAACAACTTGGTTCCAACGTTCTGGAACAAAAAGATTGATGGATGGGGACTAGAATACCATATTCTATCATGTCAAGGCAGTTTAAAGGAGACAGATGAACACTATCACAATGTTGAGAGATGAGCATGGAGATTGGGTTGAAGACTCTAGGAAGATCAAGAAGATAATTAATGATTGCTACCATAATTTTTTTCACATTTGAGGTTGAAACTACCAGCCCATACTATAAATACCTTTTCCATGTTAGGTATTACTATGTTATCTATGTTAAATAGAAAAATGCTATTCCTACACCCTTTTCTACACCTAATACTTACACCGTATGCACTATTCACCGTATTTATACGGTGAACAGTGTTTTTTTTATTAAAATAATATTTTTTAAAATATTAATTTTTTAAAAAAAAATATTTATTTTTAAAATTTATTTTATAACACAAATATAAGATTGCGCATTAACCAACTTCACAGTTGCATTAACCACAAAAATCTACATTATTAACCAATTATTTTACCTATAATTTATTAACCACTTTCACTACTTCATTAACCAATAAAATACACACTATTAACCATATTCTGGAGAATTTGTTCAAGTATTTGTGAACAGTAATTGAGGTGTAGGTGTAGAAATGGGTGTCAAGATAGCAATCCTGTGTTAAATAAGGATCTTAACAAGGATGAGATTAAGAGAGCAGTTTTTAACATGGCTTTTTAGAAAGCTCTAAGTTTAAATGCGTTAGAGTTATAATTTTTTGTGTCGAAATAGTGTAGTTCGACAAAAATAAAGATTAGTTAAATTAGTTTAATGTGTGTGTCGAGTTGTATTAGTATGTCGAAGCAGGTTGCTTCACATAGGATTTCGACTTAGGCCTATTTTAATAATATTAACTATTTTGGGATTTTATAGTTTTGACATTTGGCTTGGGGTGGAAACTAACATAAATCTATAAATAGGGAGAAATCCTTATTTTGTAAAGAACTAATAACATAATTCATAGTTTTGCAGTTGCAAAGTGAATAAGAAATTCCAGTTTGTAAGCAGAGAGAAACTCTGCAAAATATTCATCTTCTTCTTCTCCAACATTATTTTTCTTTCTTTCTTTCTCAACCTTTTTCTTTTCATTGTTATTGCGTGATTGATAACAATCTTGAGATCAAGATTGAGTGAAATTCTCCATAGGTTGTGGTTGAATTTCAACATCTGGTATCCAGAGTCCCGGTTGCGATTCAAGGAAGCAAAACCGTGATGGCGATGAATCATCTAAACAGACATTTTACGGTGAACCTTCTGATTCTCAAGAAAGATAATTATGAGAATTGTTGCAAGCAGATTAAGGTGGTTTTTTGTTATCAAGATCTTTGGAATCTTGTGAAGGGAGGAGTGACATCGCTTGCAGAAAACACGACGGGTCAAGAAAAGACTGCACATAATGAATTGAAGAAGAAAGATTATAAAGCTCTCTTTATAATCTATCAATGTGTTGATCCAGATAATTTTGAAAAGGTTAGTGATGTAGAATTAGCGAAAGAAGCGTGAGAAATTTTAGAGAAGTCGTTTGGAGCAGTAGAGAAGGTGAAAGAGGTGAGGTTACAAACTCACAAGAGAACCTATAAATTGCTTCAGATGAAAGAAAGTGAAAGTATAACAAATTTCTTCATTATGGTTACTAAACTGGTGAATCAAATTAAAGTATGTGGAAAAGTGTTGACATCAAGATCAGTTGTTGCAAAGATCTTGAGGTCATTGGCTCCAAAGTTTGACCACGTGGTAGTAGTCATAGAAGAGTCGAAAGACTTATCAGTATTGACGAAGGAAGAGCAGTAAGGGACACTTGAGTCTCATGACCAAAGGATGACTTAAAGAGTTGCAGGAAATTCGAAGAGTTATATGGCTTTGCAGGCGTAGTCAGAAAAAGAAAAGAAAGGCAAATGAAGCTGGAATGACAACAAAGGTAGAGGAGGATACAATAATTCGACTGGTCAAAATCAACAGGAAGGAAACTGGTCGAATAAGAGAAAATCCTGGAACCAAGACAACCAAAGAGGTGGTGCTGCAGGTAGAGGAAGAGACGGTGGTCGAAATCCTAACAAAAGTCACATTCAGTGTTACAGTTGTCAGAAGTATGGTCACTATTTTAGTGGGTGTCGAGAAAAGAAGAAGAATTAAGAAACTGATGCAAAGCTGGCGAAACATGAAGAAGAAAAGATGTTGTTGATGGTTACAACAAGAGATGAAGAAATATTTCAAGACCAACGGTACTTGGACTCAGGATGCTCATCACATGTGACTAGAAGGAAATATTGGTTTTTCAACATGAAGCCTTTAATGAAGAATGTGGTGAAACTTGCAAATGACAATAATCTAGCAACTGAAGGTATTGGTGATGTTCTGATTATGGGGAAAGATGGCAAGAGGTCAATAATTTACAATGTATTGTACATATCAGGCATGAAGAGTAATTTGCTCAGTATAGGGAAGCTGGTCGAAAAGAACTACAAGGTGTTGATCGAAGAGAAGATGATGAGAGTTCTCGACGCAGGTGGTAGGTTAATCTTGAAGGCTCCAATGTCTCATAATAGAACCTTCAAGATTGAACTTAATGTGACGGAGCATAAGTGTCTTGCAACTGCAGCTAGCAGAGATGAATGATTATGGCACTATCGACATGGACATCTCAACTTCAAAGACATCAGAGATTTAAAGAGAAAAAATATGGTTTCAAGATTACCAGAAATCGAAATTCCAAGTGAAGTGTGTGAAGAATGTGTTCAGGCGAAACAACACATGAATAGCTTCAGCAAGGATGCAGGAAGCAAGTCGAAGGCAATTCTTGAAGTCATATACTTTGATGTATGTGATCTTATCCAGGTGGATTTGATTGGAGGTAACAAATACTTTGTCACATTCATAGATGATTTCAGTAGAAAAATATGGACTTACCTGATCAAGAAAAAAAGTGAAGTGATCGAGGTATTTGCCAAATTAAAATCTATGGTCGAAAGATAGAGTGGTTGAAAGCTAAAGATTTTGAGGACTAATGGTGGTGAATAGTATTTGTCGAAAGATTTCAATGTGTTATGTGAGAAAGAAGAGATTATGCATGAGGTGGTGCCACCCTACACTCCACGGCAGAATGGAACTGTAGATATGAATAATAGAGCCATCATGAACATGGTGAGAAGTATGTTGAAAGACAGGCATCTACACAAAGAATTATGGGGAGAAACTGTGTCGACAACAACATACATCTTGAATAAATGTTCGAAGAAGAAGCTAGAAGGAATAACGCCAGAAGAATGTTTGTCTGGTGTCAAGCCTAGCCTAAGTCTTTTGAAGGTGTTTGGATCTATAAAACATAGACATGTGTCAGATCAGTTGAGAATAAAGCTTGATGATAGGTCAAGTTAAATGATCCTAATAGGATATTATTCGACTGAAGGATACAAGTTGTTCGACCCAGTAAATAAGCAAGTTGTGATCAGCAGGGATGTGATCATAAATGAGCTTAAGGAATGGGATTGGACTGAGAATGTTAATAAGGATTCAATGAGAATCTTATATGAAGAACCAGCTAGTGAAGTCGAAAGAGAAGTTCAACAAGAAGAAGTCAGAGGTGAAGCACGCCCAAGCAGACCTCGACGGACAAGACACATATCTGCAAGGTTGTAAGAATGTGTGATTACATCAGATGATGTGGTCGATGAAAAAGGTGAGTTGGTACACTATGCTTTCTATGCAGATGTTAAACCAGTCAATGCAGCTGAGGCATTGAAAGATTCAAAGTGGGTGAAAGCAATGAATGATGAGTTAAGTCCATCGAAGTCAACAACACCTGGTCACTTGTCGAATTGCCTCAAGGCAAGAAGGCAATTGATGTGAAATGGGTTTACAAGGTGAAAGTGAATCCTAAAGAAAAGGTAACTCGACACAAGGTAAGACTTGTGGCGAAAGGATTTCTACAGAAGGAAGGAGTCGACTTTGACAAAGTTTTTGCACTTGTTGCTAGGATCAAAACAATCAGATTGGTTGTTGGTCTAGCAAACATGAACAATTGACACACATGTCAGATGGATGTG